GGAATGCGTGTAGTCAACTCAACTACCCAATAAGCCTAGGCTTATCGCGTAGTTGACTACTTGCTTACAACCCTGCTATAGCGAACTAGCCACACTCAACTGGCCAAGTAGCCACATGTGGCTAGCTAGCATGTTGGACACTATGGCCCTAGAAAATTAATTGCCAAAAACATGATTGACATATATGAAGAAGATACTGGGGGAAGTCACAGTCTACTGCCTTAGGGGAGGGGAGACTGCCCAATGCAGCTTTCTGTGGCTGCTGGAGGGCAGATGATTATGTGATGACCACCATCTTGGCTGATATTGAGAAGCGAACTGGGACCTTGAACACTAAAAGCTTAAGTTGTTATGGTGGAGCTGTAACTTACTTCCTTTCTGGCTCTGGCACAATGGGTTACATTTACCCATCAAATAGAATAGTCTCCATTATTTGTGGATTACTTATAAGCTCAGCCCTTATATAGTGCTTTTCATTGGTAGATTTTTCAAGCACTTTATAAAGGAAGTCAGTATTTCTCAGCCTTTATATAGTTCTTTTCATTGGTAGATTTTCAAGCACTTTATAAAGGAAGTCAGTATTGATATCCCCATTTTATAAATGGGAAAACTGAGGTACATAGTTTGTAAAGCCAAGAATAGAACTGAAGTTTTTGCAGACCAGTCCTTCAGTGGAAGCTCCTTTTGTATGCACCAATTACAAGAGTTTGGTCCTGTCCTCCCTTATCTGAGTGTAAATCACAATGTGGCTTGGCAGTTGTGCATTGTACATATATGCCCAAGCCCTGTAACCTCCTGGCTTGATTTGCAAAAATATTGGGCACCTGCCTAGCCCATTGACTTCAGTGAGCTTTGTTTGTGCTCTACTGATCTGGAAAATCAGGGCATGTGTCCAAGATGTGCAAAGTTGTTCAATATAAAATTGTAGAACAAACTGCGCATTTAGCTCCCTCTGCTGTGTGATAAGGGTTCTGTTGTAGTGGCACTGTTAAGGATAATGAAGCATTCACAACTTATAACAACCACCAGCACAATCCAAACCAGACAGTAAAACCAGGGCCCCACTAAAATCAAGATACAAGTTTTGCCACTTCCTTCAGCCAGAGCAGAGTGGGAGCAGGTCCATAATATGAGTATGTGATGTGGCCAACCTCAAGTGTTTAAAATTTCAGTCAGGCTCCAAAACATCATGAGATTTTAAAAACAGGTAGCTACACTGGGGGGCTTTCTAGTTGGCTTCTGAGCCATGAACATGCATTCGTGTCACATTTTCATGCTTTTCTCAGCTACCATAAGTGCTATAAACTTGCCTGAAAGCGGAAAGTCTCACGCAATCACACCCCCACAGGAACTAGATGTGACAGATTCAACTGTATTGAATTAACTTAAAGGATTTTAGGAGTTAACGGTAGTCACTGTAAAGGTGTGTGTGTGTGTGTTTGTGGGGTTGTGCAACATCTCTGGTGGGGAGACACAGCTACTGTGAAAGTGGGAGATGAAGCAGCGCAGCCCCCACAGCCCTGCTCGTCCATTTCTTTTTGTTGACATCACAGAAAGGAGACTTGTAGGGAGGGATTGGAAGGAGAATAATGAGTTAAATGTTGCTGCTGTTCACAGAGACTCCTCCAGCCCGCAGCCCCGCTGCACCCCCTCCCCCAG